CACCATCTGACGTGGGCCGCCTTGTGATCGTCGGAAAGCAGATGCGGTTTCCTACGGCAAACTAGCTTTCTCACACCAAGCGCTTTATGCAAGATCTTCTGAATGGTTGTCCCTGAGATGCCTAATAGAGCCCTATATCTCTCGATACGTCACATGACGATCTTCGAGAATTAGTTGTCTCACAGCAATGATGTTATCTTCAGTGAAGGCGGATTTTGGGGCATTTGTCACTAACACTAGTATGTCCACGCTGGAATTCTGAATACCAGTGTTCGACAGTCCGCAGACATGGGGCTTCATCACTGAACACAGATGTTAGCTCTTCAAAGCACTGAAGCTGTGTCAGGCCTCTTCTAAAGTTGTAGAAAATTATTGCACGAACATTTTCCTTAGAAAGATTCATTTTCGTACGTAACCTGACAGATTCCAATCGACGCTGTGACTAAACAATAACATTAATCCTAATACTTTCAACTGTTTTGAGATTCAAAATTTAAACACATTCGAATATAGAAAAGTTCCAAATTCAAAATTGCCAGGAAATATGAAAACGACAGAACTTAAAAGGCATGCCTAGTACACATGACACGATATAAGTTTTGCTATCCACGGCCTCACAAGAAACATATTCTACGGGACATATCATGTCATATCTACAACTACACAAATCTAAGAACAACAGAATTGGGACCGATGCTTATGTTAACTATCAACATTATGCAAACACATACAATGGATTTAATAATTCATGTTTTTCGGCTCGTGAGGTCTGAATTAGTTTGGAAAATCATTTATGTACAGGAATTGTTCTTGATCCTAGTGATGTACAAGATTGTTTTTTAAATGAATTTTAAATTCCTGTCAAAATCTTAGCAAAATAAACACCTGAAATTTTTCAGTGATGTTCTTTTCTTTTATGATTAAAATGACTTTAAAGTTTAGGCTTGCCTAATTTCACACAATCTTATATTCATACAAACATTTGTGTGCATGAGCGTTTAATGTTTACTTTGTTCTGGGTGTTTCTATGTATGTATATAAAAAAAAGTATATATGTATTTATATCAGTTGTCTAGTACCCATAGTACAAGCGCTGCTTAGTTTGGGACTAGATGGCGTTGTGTCAATGTGGTAAAATATTTTTATTTTTTATTACTATTACATAAATATAGAAATACAATACATGTAAATGCATATGTATATACATTATATACATATTAAGGTCCTGATTATTGAAGGGTTTATTATTCATCATCATCATCACATCAACAGCGTATAAAAGTCCACTGCTCGACATAGGCCTCACCTTAGAAAGAAGGTTTTGACCTACTATATCACGCTGGTCAGACGGGTTGGTATAGGGTTGTTTCAAGTTTTCCTTCTCCTCTTTTCTCCTTTGTAGTGCTGTTGTCCTCTTTGCAGTCGGCTCTTACGACACCCACGGGATGAATAGAGGTGGTGACACTCTGTATTCTTAATCCGTCACCACACGGACCATTACGTTTTATTATTAGGGGATATATAATATATAGGAAGTTATTATAATATTATTATTATGAAGTTAGAGAGAGATATTATTATCTGGTTGCTTGCCCCCTTATCATAAAAAACTTAGTTAATTTCCGCCCGGTATAGACGAAGTGTCAGGTCGGAAGGTGACAGATTTACAAGGCGAGATTTATTTTGAACAACTAATTTATCGAGCTGATATTGGAAGGTCAGGCGCAAGGTCAAGTCGACAGGACAGGGCAGTGGTGCTTTAAAGTAAATTAAGTGGTTTCCTTGATCTTGAGCTGGAAAATAAATTAACTTAGAGTGAGGGTTGCAGAGATGCAAGGTTAAAATGACTAGGTAGTGTTTTTAAACTCCATAGTAAAATTGATTTTGAATAATTAAATAAATAATTTTTTGAGCAGTGATTCATGAAAATCTGTAAAGCTGTTCGAAGACCAACTCTTTTCTTATCTTTTTAGTCAAGTGCGCTTTAGTAAAGTGTAGGTTTTCGAAGAATATTTACTAGGAAACCTTACCTTAAATTCCTTAGTTCGTTCGTAGCAGTGGACGGTGATAGGCTGATGATAATGATGAAGCAAAGATAAGAATTCTTTAGTTGCTTTTCACTGAATATGACTGTGTCGGTTTACTAAACCCTACCCTTGATCTGGTGTGGGGGTGGAGTGGAATCTAAGGGCTCCAACGCATTTGTGAGTCGAAAGTGTGTCTGTCTGTCTTCACGCTTCAACCGCTAAACCGATTAAGACGAAATTTGGTATAGAGATAGTTTTTTCAGTTGGTTTCTAATTAAAACAATTTATACATTGGTATAATCTCCTTGAGAAATGATGTCGAATACAATATTTTTTGCTCAACCTGAACATAAAGAACATAAATTTTAATTTTACTGAGATGAAAAGTAATGATTTCCTATCTATTCGATAGATGGCGCTGAATGACTGATAAGTGACAATTCAAAATAAAAAGTGTCGTTACAACTTTTCGTGAGAATTTTTCCGTCTAGCCCCCTTTCACAACGCGCGATAAGGAACTTCGTTCCAATAAATTGTGGATTCTAAAACTAAACTTCAAACATTTCAGGAAAGCTTGAGGTAAAGTGGGTATTGCAAGTGTGTCGATTTCCGGTGACGAATGCGAAAGTACAACTGGCGGTTTGAATACTGTTTTTCTACCTCAACCTTATGGAAAACTTCAAGAGTGCCTCCTGCTAATGGTGTTTTACTGTAACTCTTTTATGTTTAATGTATGTTTGTTTGTTTCCATTCCAACTTGTTCTATTTTTTTTTGTATGATATAGGGGGAAGAAGGCGGTATACCCGATTGTTAGCAACGCCACCACCTGCTACTGAAGAGTCACAAAATGATATATATCACACATCTCCCCCGTGGCGCAGTGGTAGTTTATGCGACAGCTGTGTTGAGGTCTCGGGTTCGATTCCCGGGTCGAACCAAATTTGTGTATGATCTGCTAATATTTGTTACGGAATTTGGGTGTTTTCTATGATAAGTATTCCATCAGTCAATCTAGCTTTTATAGTATATGCTCTGCTTATTTTGAAACTAGACTTTTTTTTTCGTCTTTTTTTTACAACTCCAGCATTAGGAATATATCCTGTGTTTCGGGGGCACTTAACAAACATATATGAAACGGACACAAAGAACACCCAGAGTCAGAACAACAATTTGTGTATCACACAAAGTGTCGTCCTATGTGGGGATAGGAAACCCACCCACTCGACGTAGTAGAAAGCGGCGTGGCGACCGCTTAAACCACTACGCCATCCGTGAAGTATTATTATTATTTTTAATCTCACCCACGGCTGTCTGAGCCCAAACTAAGCAGAGCCTGTACTATCGTAACCAGACTGCTGATAAACATACTTATATATTTACACCCAGATAAATTACACCCAGACACAGAACAAATGACCGTGCTCATCATACAATATTTGCCCTGGGTAGCAATCGAACCCACTGGCTCTGGCTCAACAGTTAGGGTCACTAACCACCAGACGAACAGTCCCGTCAAATACGTGGCCGGTCTTTGATAACTCCCGAAAAATCAAGGAGGGGATGGATGGGTTTTAGGCATCGGGAATCTCGGTCACTGAAAACGCTGATCACGACGATGAGCAACGAAAAAAAAGCTGAAACACCAGTTTTCTGGTAGGCAGTGGTATTACTCCGGTCGAGCCAGCCCGTTTGGGAGTGAGCATGGCTCTCCCACGTAACAATACTAAAAGTACTAAATATTTTTTCATTAAATTTCGTGCAAGTGGTACGGTAACCAGACTGCTGATAAACATACTTACATACTTCTAAATACATTTCAAAGATAAATGAAACGGTAATAAATGAAACGGGCGGTTGTAGATCGGTACAGGGATATAATGGATTTTCAATTTTCGATACGTAAAAATTTGCTAAATATTTGATAAATTAGAGATTGCTGCTATTGTGTGTGTCATCATCATCAGCAGCCTTTAACAGTCTACTGCTGGACATAGGCCTCTCCTTAGAAATGATCTATGACTTTAGAGTCTAAATAAGACATTTTTTTTAAATATAGTTATTTTAAGTTTGAGTTTGACCACTAGGGTAATAGGCAGAATGATAGTAAAATTTTTAAATAATAATTATGGTACAGTTTTGACCGTAAAGCGAGGTATATCTGTATTTAATGGTAATTTAAGTCATTAAGCATTTATAAATTCCGTCACTAATCTGTTAGGGTTTTCTAAGGATTGGTTGAAATTTCAAACATTGAAAATAAATTATGAAAATACAATTTTCTTACTTAGAAATGAATAACGCCAAATATAATTAGTGAACTCATCGTTCAACTAAAACCGAAGTGGATATTATATTTTACATTACTGCTCGAGTTTAGTTCGGAGCAAAAAGAAAATTGAGTTAGCTAAATGCACTTTTGCTTAGGTAATTCAAGGATGAAAATTTTGTTTATTTTATTTTGGTACATATGCTCTTCTGGTTTTGTAATTATGTCATTATGTTCAAGGTGTATTGTTACGTATGGCCGGCTCAACCGGAGTGATACCACGGCATCACAGAAATCCGGTGTTTAGAAATTCTTACACCAGGTGAGTAACTTTAGCGAAGTAAAATCCCCCCCTCACCAACTCAACCCCACACCCCTCACCAACCTTCCCCCCTTTACCAACCACCAGGCTCCCTCCCTCACCAAAACCTCCCCCTCCTCTCCTAGATTCTGGAGAGGGGATTCTGGGGGGGGGGGGGTTACACACTAGCGTCTCTAGACCAACCGTCAAGTGACCCTTCTCCTCGGCCCCCCTTCCCCCCCACCCTTAAAATAAAAAACCTTTGATTTTGTAGTACTACATGCTTAGTTAAATTCTAGATATCGCTGTAAAATAATATCCTGAAATGTTATAATCAATTTTTTTTTAAATATTTTAGGGTTACAGTAAATTAAACCGTAAGTGCTAAGTTCATAAAAGTCAATTTTAATAGTTCATATATCTTCGAGCTAATAAGGCCCTACTTCTCGGCACCTTGCACTCAGTCAGTGTGTGGATTCTGTCGCTCTTCAAGTAAGCAGGATCCGAAGATAGTTCTTCTAGGGCTCGAAGTGCCTGTTCACTGGTGAAAGGCAATTGCAAGCCATCAGAAATCCGTGAAAGCCAACGAGTTTCAACGCATCTGGAAAAATGGGTTTTGCTAACTTACAAAATGTGACATTCTATGATGAACCAGGGCCGGGTAAGTTAAAGGCATGTGGTACTTTTGAGAGTGTTTTGGTTTCAGGTTTTTTACAGGAATTAGGTAGACATGTAGGCTGTACAGCCTGGATGAAACGGCTGGTAATTTGTTTCGTTTTCTTTAAGACTATTACTATTGATATACTGCAAATGTTTGAAAGAGCACTATAACAAGACTTGCTCAATAAAAATGTGTGTGTGAATTCAACGGTATGTGATGCTTATTTCAACTACTTTATTAGAGTCTTTTAATAGAAATTATAAATATAACTCTTTGATATGGATATAATAATATGAATTATGATTATATTTATTTCAAAAATAATATAGTCCAAATAACTAACACTTAAAATATAAAAAAAAACAACAAAGAGAAAATATGTTATAAGGCAATGCTGCCAGTCGTTTAGGAACGCTACCAGGTAGCGATGATGTGGAGGAATTTTTTGATGCCTCTATAATAACTTCAAACATCTGACACACGGCTGTCTGATCCCAAACTAGGCAGAGCCTGTACAATGGTAACCAGACCGCTGATAAACATACTTATAGATTTCTAAATACATGAAACAGATGGCGAATGGCACGGATGGCGTGGTGGTTTAAGCGGTCGCCAAACCCCACATGGGACGACACTTTGTGTGATCCACAAATTGTTGTTCTGAGTCTGGGTGTTCTTTGTGTCCGTTTCATGTATGTTTGTAAAGTCCCCCACCATACAGGATATAGTCCTAATGCGGGAGTTGTCTTTAAAAAATAAAACATATTATAGATAAATTACACCCAGACACAGTACAAATGATCGTGCTCATTACACAAAAATTTGTTCTGGGTGGAAATCGAACCCACAACCTCCGGTTTAGCAGTCAGGGTCACTAACCACTAGACCAACAGGCCCGTCACGTATGCAGAAAGTGTCAGTGTGGTATATATTTTAATTGCATTATAATAAATAAATATTTGTTTTCGAAATTTACACAGCTATACTAAGTTTTAAACTGCATGAATAGGGTAGTGGTTTAAATGGTCACCTCGCCACTTCCTACTGCGTTGAGTAATGTGCGTTTGATTCTTACATGTGACAACACTTTGTGTCATCCACAAATTGTTCTTCTGAGTCTGTGTGTTCTTTGTGTCCGTTTTACGTATGACACAGAATATATTCCTAGTGCGGGAGTTGCTTATTTTGTTTACGGTAATTAAAGCGTTCACGATAGGTATTAAGTACATATCTCTGAATTGCCTGCCGTTTTGACCAGGATTCACTGGCCGTGGTCACAGCCTGACAGTCAGTCAGCCTGTTACTTAAGTTTCAACAGCTGTTTTACTCTAGTTATCTGCAGTTCTTAGGAGACCAGGCTAGTGATGTAGACCTCAATTAAATACAAGCTAGAAAGGTTCTACGTACGCTGAACAAGGGTCAGCGGGTAACAGCGCCGTGATAGCAATAGGGCTGAATGGTGCAGGCCTCTCGCAGTGCACCGTGTACTTCTTAAACCGTGAAGCAGTCTTGTCGGGTTTTTGTGTCTTGTGCAAAAACCGCTCCTAGAAGAACGAATTTGACATTGAGGATTATGGATATAATAAATAAATAAATAAATTAATAATATTTTACCACATTCACACAACGCCATCTAGTCCCAATCTAAGCAGAGCTTGTACTATGGGTACTAGACAACTGATATAAATACATATATACATTTTTTTTGTAAATACATACTTATTATACATAGAAACACCCAGACCAAATTAAACATTAAAAGTTCATGCACACAAATGTTTGACTTGAGCGGGAATCGAACCCGCGACCTTTGGAATAGCAGTCTGTTACACAAACCACAACACCATCCGGTCTTCGAATATAGAAATACTTATAATATGTTAGTCCGTGTGGTGACGGATTAAGAATACGGAATGTCACTACCCCAATTCATCCCGTGGGTGTCGTGAGAGGCGACCAAGGGCGCAAAACAACGCAGGACACCAGCACTGCAAAAAGAAGGAAAACTTGATACAATCCCTATACCAACCCGTCTGGCCAGCGTGGTATAGTAGGCCAAAACCTCCTTTCTAAGGAGAGGCCTATGTCCAGCAGTGGACTATTAAAGGCTGTTGATGTGATATGTGTTTGACTGCGTCTTTGCTCTTGTAAATGTAGTTTTTTAAAGCGTAGAGGCGAAAACAAGAAGGCACCTGACGGCAAGTGTCAACTACCGTCTTTGGACACTTGGAACTCAAGACTCTCAACTCAACTCCCCCACAGCATCAGGGAGAGGGCGTGGGCTTGGGCTCCTGTAACCTCACTCACTCAGTGAAAAGCTACAAAAGTTATAATAATATTTTTTCGGATATTTAACTCAACGCCATCTAGTTTCAGAGCTTGTACTATGAAAACTAGGTTGACTGATAAAATATTCTATACTTGTTTTTTGTAAATATATACATATTTTACATAGAAAACACCCAAACTCCGAAACAAAATTTGCAGAGCATACAAAGATTTGGCCCAACCCGGGAATCGAACCCGAGACTTCAGCATAGCAGCATACTACCCACTGAAGTGTTGCTTATCAGTGGTTTTCTGTAGCTGTGGCATCACTACGGTCGAGTCCAGTCCATTTGCGCCGCAGTATGGTTCTTTACTAATTCCTTGCTTGTAAAAAAAGTGAAGTTATTTGGATAGTGATAACTTCACATCATCACATCAACAGCCTTTCATAGTCTACTGCTGGATATAGGCCTCTCCTTAGAAATGGGGTTTTGGCCTACTATACTACGCTGGCCAGACGGGTTGCTAGAGAGTTTGTGTCAAGTTTTCCTTCTCTTTGCAGTGCCGTTGTCCTGAATAGTTTGCTCCCTAAGTCGGCTCTTATGACACCAAAGGGATGAATAGGGGTGGTGATACTCCGTATTATAATCCGTCACCACACGAAAGTGATAACTTACGTAATAATAAACGATTTCTTTATATTCTTTGATTTTCTCGGTAATGAGTAGCAAAGTCAGTTTTATCTGATAGACCGAGGGACCCTTGTCTCCAAGAAGATTCTGGTACGGCTCCAAGCTGCAGCCAAGCAAGCTGTAACAATATTTTATTATAAACATCTTACAATAGACCAATGTGATACTCACTCCCACGGACAAAAATGGGTTCATTTTAAATAGAAATCTCTTTTACCTTACCCCTTCTAATTACCTCGCCGTAATGTTACGTGGAGATGAGTAAATTACGTTAACAACATACCCTGTCAATATAATTAACAGTTAGTATTACGTCTAATTACCTGTTTTACAACCAATTATCAGCTAAGACACTCAAAACCTATTAATATTCTAGATATATACTGAATAGAGCCGTTAAATTGTATGAAAGGGTTTCACTAAAAACCCAAAAAGGTGTAAAAATAATAACGTTAAGCTTTTGCGTCTTATTGCACATATGTAGGTATCATCAATCATCATCAACAGCCTATAACAGTCCACTGCTGGACATAGGCCTCTCCTTAGAAAAGAGGTTTTGGCCTACTATACCACGCTGGCCAGACGGGTTGGTGCAGGGTTTATTTCAAGTTTTACTACTCTTTGCAGTGCTATTGTCCTGCGTAGTTTCTTCCCTTAGTCGGCTCTTACGACACCCACGGGATGAATAGAGGTGGTGACATTCCGTATTCTTAATCCGTCACCACACGGACATATGTAGGTATATAGGCGTTTATATATTGCTGTGTCTCATTATACATATGTACAGGTGTGTGGATATGTATACAGGTGTGTGTGTATGTATACAGGTGTGTGTATATATATACGGGTGTGTGTATATGTATACAGGTGTGGCGTAAATATTGGTTAAGCTTGTACTCGCTGTTCGAGCATGTTTTCGAGCCAGCCCTTATTTATTTATACATCTTTATTGTACACTGCTACAGTATAAATTGTACAGACATGGATGGACATCTAAATTTTGGTATTACTCGTACAATCAGCGGTCTTGGCGCTCACGGCGATCTCTTACAGACTACCTTTACACGGATATTGTTTAATCTGATTTAGGGTAGTCTATGGTTTATATAGAGAAGGAAAACTTGAAACAAACCCTATACCAACCCGTCTGGCCAGCGTGGTAAAGTAGGTCAAAACCTAATTTCTAAGGAGAGGCCTATGTCCAGCAGTGGACAAGTAAAGGCTGGTGATGTGATGGTGTACTTTATAATACTTTAGATAATTAATATATATAAGTAAAAACACACTAAATACGCTTACAATATACGTACTACTAACACTTTTAAATCCATGTAAATAATAAATAGATGCAAAGGTCATAAAGGTTGTATTATGTGCTTAACACATTCGGACGTCGCTTAAATGGAGAATGTACCCGAAGATGGTGCCCGCGCCATTGCGGGCAGGCGCTAGGAAGGGTCCGGATGTCTTAATAATAGCAGTTCCCGGATCTCTCCTATTACAGGCGCAAAGTGGCAAACCGTTTTAGTTGGTCCGATTCCAGCACACCACTCCGCCCCAGTGGGGTGACAGCCCGAGGGGGCTTCCACACTTAAAAAAAATGCTTAAGCACATTTATCAACCAACTTTCTTCACTTCTTCTACATACGAACAAGAAATCTAAAAATCAAAGGTCGAAAGTTCGTTGCCATTCTTTTAATCCCCCACAAATGAGGGAGCAAGTAACCTCACACACTCAGTAGAAAACAACAAATGAATTGCTTAACATAGATTTTATGTGAGGCCGTGGTTTCAGTCCGGTCGAGCCAGTCCATATGCGCCCAAACATGGCTCTCCCACGGATATTGTAGGTTCATAGTATATGATCTCTCTAAATGACGTCTATGTCCACCCACGCCTGATACAATCTATTATTGCGTTCAATAACCTAACTTCATTACAGCCTGCATGTTATTGATTCATGGCAGTGCAATTTCGATTAAATTCGATTAAGCGTCACATTGTACTCTGGTAATGGATATGCAATGTATATATATTGGTACGTATTAATGTGTGTGTATTATGAGTACGGTTTAAATGCCAATAATTCGCGTTTTGAATAGTGGTTTGCATTTATTTCGTCAGTTTTGACGTGTTTTTGCTATGATTCTGTAGAACTACATTTTTGCTTGGCCTGTTCGTCTAGTGGTTTAACTGCTAAGCCGGAGGTTGTGGGTTCAATTCACACCCAGGACAAATAGTTGTGTGACTAGCGCCATCTCAGGAACTAGTGGTTCGAATTGAAAAAGAGAGGTGAGGTGCTTAGAGGTGGATTATGTTTTATTGATCTAATCATGCTATGGCTTTGCCTAGTTTGGGATCAGACTGCCGTGCGCGAAGTGTACAAGTTACATATAAAAAATCACATAATTGGTTTAACTCGATCAATCTTCGCCAGCCTATAATCGAACTAGTTGCTTACAATAATGGGTCCAATGTTAACACATCCAAACTGATCCATGTAACTTGTTACTTGTAAAATTGATTACAACTACTTTTCTATTACAGCTGACATTTCAGAGTCCAGTTTTGTAGCTTTGATTTATGGTTTTGAAATACATATGGTAAGAAATTTTGTACAGGGCCATTTTAGTAAAAGTGTTTATGTTTTTATAGACTCCTAATTGAACTGGCAAAGGTTGTTGTTATTGTAAAAAAATGTATAGCACCCCGAAAAAAAAGGCAGACTGGATCGACGGGCCTGTTGGTCTAGTGGTTAGTGACCCTGACTGCTAAGACGGAGGTCGTAGGTTTGATTCCCACCCAGGACAAATATTGTGTGATGTGCACGATCATTTGTTCTGTGTCTGGGTGAAATTTACCTATCTATGATATATGTGTATTCAGAATATACGTATATAAGTATGCTTATCAGCAGTCTGGTTACCATAGTACAGGCTCTGCCTAGTTTGTGAGATGTGTCAAGGTAAAACAAAAAACTTCAGTGTATTTCGTCCTTTTTTACTGGCCATTAATAAATCATAATTAACCAAATGCCGATATAAATGTAATTGCCTGCCATTAGTTATAACAATAACATTACAACCGTCTGATGATCCACAAATCAAACACGTCAGGACGTGACGCGACGTGACGTTAGCATCAAACGTGCGTTAAGCGCCACACGGCGCTGACACGTTGATCATTACGCCAGGATTAATTATCGCACAACTTTCCGCTAAGTTGGTGAACAGACCTTCGTCTTATGGTTATTGCCGAGTTTGATTTTCAGTTTGGATAATATACCGGTTATTAAATCCGTTTAAGATCGATGTGATGATGATATGGGTTTATAACTGCCTCGGTGGCGCAGTGGTAGCGTATGCGGCTGAGGTCTTGGGTTTGATTCCCGGGTCGGACTAAATGTTTGTATGATCTGCAAATATTTGTTTCGGAGTTTGGGTTTTTTCTGTGTATAATATGTATGTATTTAGTAAAGTATATAGGTATTGTATCAGTCAATCAAGCTTTCATAGTACAAGCTCTACTTAGTTTGAAACTAAATGGCGTTGTGTCAGATGTCTGAAAAATAATAATATTATATTATAGTAGGAAGGAGTTGTCCACCTTTTGTATGGATCTAGGAACATGGATTTAGGAATATGGATTTAGTTTGATAATATTTTTGAAATCCTGCATTCAAGGGAAAAACTAAAAGTTATTTTAAATTAGTAGAATTTTTTTTTCGAGAATGGCAATACTAAATTTACAAATCCTATTGTTTATTCATAAGCTAAATCAATATAAGAAAACACTTTGCGCAAGAACATGACGTAGTCTATCAATTTCTCTCCTTAATATATTTATACCAAACTCACAATTTTTATAGCATACTCAAAGTATACATAAAAAACAAAAAAAAACAAACTGTCATCAAGTGCATAAACAGAACCAAGCATTGTCAAATGCAAGAAAAAATTAACAAACTTGTCATTATATTTTTTCTCTGGCATTAGTGGCTAAAGTATTGTTCGTATTCGGCCTAAAAATTTACCTACCTTGGCAAATTTTCAGGCCAAAACAAAATTGCAGTAATTTAAAATTTTGTTTTGTAAATCATAATATTTGTTCTTAGGAAGTCTTTTCAAAAATATTTGGTTCATAGCTACAGGAGTTTTTTTTAAGAATAAATAACCATTACAGAATACCGAGTGTCACCACGCCTGACACCCCTGTGGTTGTCGTAAGAGCCGACTAAGGGAGCAAACTACGCAGGATATTATCATCAATCATCAACAGCCTATAACAGTCCACTGCTGGACATAGGCCTCTCCTTAGAAAGGAGGTTTTGGCCTAGTATAGTATCTCTCAGGTGGTTAGGTCTTATTTCGTGTTTCTTAGCATCGGAGCCGCGGACAATAGCAAGTCTTATAAAATATGATTATAACCTAAATATAACGCACAAAAGTTTTTGATTGCTTCACACCTTATATAACTAGAGACCGTCAATGCGTATTGCGACCCCAGTACATATTTTTTTTACGGGTGTGATGCGATTAGATTTAAAACTGTCGACTAATTTCTTTGACTGAGTAAGTTCATTTCCAACGTATGACTACCTGTTAAACACGGTGTATCATGATTGGCAATTTAATAATAATTTGCCGTGAGCATTACTAATGGACTTCCAAGTGTAGTCGCCAAAAAAAAAACCAGAAGGTGAATTCCCTGAATAAACCCATATTATATGTCGCGTTACTATGTCGCGGGGGACATTCCCTGAATGTCCCCCGCGAGGATATATTCCTAATGCGGGAGTTGTCTTTAAAAAAAAACACTTTCGGTCATAATACTACAATCACATTACAAACAAGGTTGTATTTACTACCACCACTTTACTACTTTACTTATGACATTGTGAGATCGAGAAGATTGGAACTAAATTTTGAATGAAGTCTTATTACGAGAACGAATTCTTAGTACTTGTATTTTCAACGAACTATTACTAGAGAAATTGAAACTACTAACGCAGAATGGTTTTGGAATAATAATGATTTGCAAATGACATATTATATGAGTGTAGAAACAGAACTATTTTGCGTTATTAGTTTCAACTTTGCTAGTAAAACTTCATTAAAGTCTGATGAATTAAATGAATGAATGAATTATTAACTGTTTTGTATTGGTTGTTTTTTACGAGCTAATTACCACTTAATTTCATGCTTGTTAAAGTTGCTATTTGTTTGAACACTTTTTTTACTTGCTAATTTCGATTCCTTATCATTATTTACAAAATAGTTCATTGTAACTTACTTAAAAATATCGTTTATGTGATTCATTGTGGTTTTCAACACTTGTTGAGATTCCTCATCCCTCTTCATGAGTTCTTCTGTCTTTGCTCTTCTTATTTCTAGTTCGTTCTGCATCTTCGTCAGTCTCTTTGCTATATATTCTTCTACTGCTTCAGTATAGTCTCGGCGATCATCTATATGGTGACATAATTTACTTTGTATTTTTTTAAGACCTTTAGATATTTTTTAGATAACACTAAAAGGTCTGTGGGAGAACCGTGTTGGGCATAAATGGGCTGGCTCGATTGGAACGATTCCAAGACCTCTCAGGAAACCAGGGTTAAGCGATTGTTTTATTGCTTTTCAGCAAGTGAGTGAGGTTATAGGAGTTTAAACCCCTCCTCTTCCTGGTTCTGGGGGAGAACATTGTGTTGTGAATTTGGAGTTGCAGGTGTCGTAGTTTCTTACTATCAGTTGACCTGTCTGTTCGTTTGCGCTTCTATAATCTATACAAATAAACAAAATTGAAGTGTCTGTTCCTAATGGCAAAATAATAGGTTTTTTAATGCTCACACGGTCATTTTAACGATACATCATCACATCACATCAACAGCCTATACCAGTCCACTGCTGGACAAGGGCCTCTCCTTAGAAAAGAAGTTTTGGCCTACTATACCACGCTAGCCAGACGGGTTGGTATAGGGTTTGTTTCAAGTTTTCCTTGTCTTTGCAGTGCTGTTGTCCTGCTTAGTTTGCTCTCTTAGTCGGCTCCTACGACACCCATGGGATGAATAGGGGTGGTGACATTCCGTATTCTTAATCCGTCACCACACGGACCAGTTAAATATTTTGTCTGTCTGGGTAATCTTCAAAACGGCTGGACCGATTTTGATAATATTTTACTACCAGATAGCTGTCTATATAAGGAGTAACTTAATATTCTTCTCAAAAAACTCCTATAAAATTTCGTATAAAACTTAGTAAAATATTCAAATTTGTTAGGACTAAAGTATATCATACTGGTTTCTTGCCGTATACGTTTAACATCTCGGAGCAGCACTTCGTTTTCAGCGCAGTATTCAGTCATCAGATTATACAAGGAGTCAATCTGCTGCTCCCACCATAGGAACTGCTTCTGTATGTCTTTTAGGCTTATTTTTTCCGTGAATTCCTGATTAAGGAAAGGTTGTTTAAAGAGTTTAGCAACTTTCTTAATTTAATTTTGACTTTTCTTACTTTATTTACTTATTTAAAGGTTTTAAGCACAAAAAGTACGATGGTGGAGTTAATGTCATAAGTATTTTTATTGCCCGTTTATATTAGGGTGGTGCCGAAATGTGTGATAAGCTGCACAATTCTTTAAATAAAAAGAAATAAAAGAAGATTTAAATAATATATACATTCTTACTTATGTTACTTTTGATGAAATTAAAATGTTGTTTATAAAACATACAAAAATAGAAGTCGAAAGAAATTGTTGCGAAATCCAAACAAAGTAATATGAAAATTATACTTTTAGTTACAAAGCTATGTTCACCTGTACGCTCTTTTTGAAAAAGGGAACGTTGGGTATGTCACTAGTCTTTTTTAGTACAAGATAAAGTGTCAGGGGGCTTAACTTCTTAATACAGGCTCGACACTGGCATCTTTTTAAAGATAATACCGCACTATCAATATATCCTGTGTCGCGGGAGACTTTACAAACATTCATGAAACGGACACAAACAACACCCAGACTTAAAATAACTATTTGTGGATCACAAAAAGTGTTGTCCCGTGTGGGATCGAACCCACAACACTCACCGCAAAGGAAGCGGCGTGATGACTGCTTAAACCAGTACGCCATCAGTCACCTAACCTTATCAACAAGATAATAGTATGTATAGTCATTATCATCATCAACAGTCCTTTATTAGCCCACAGCTGGACATAGGCCTCTCCTTAGAAAGGAGGTTTTGGTTTACAACACCACGCTGGCTAGAAGAGTTGGTTTAGGGTTGGAATACGACCCTGGCCGGCAGAGTTAATATATTGTTAGTGTTCAGTTTCCCTTCTCTTTGCAGTACTATTGTTCTGCGTATATTGTTCCCTTAGTCGGCTCTTAAGATATATACGAGATGAATAGGGGTGGCGACACTCCGTATTCTTAATCCGTCCTGACGAAGAACACACCTGCGACTCATCGACTCCTCTCTAACCAGGTGCTTCCAAGGCCGGGGGCATGTTAAGAACGTCTAGCGCCATCTAGGACCTTGGGGAGGAACTGAGGGGATTGAAGATTGAAAAGGAAGTACCACTATTTGATTGTATTTGGTTCGTTACTTTTTGAAATGTCAACGATCACATATTATATAGATCACACTTGTAACGAGAACACTTACCATATGACTATTGTCTGTACTACTTATCTTAAATATACGAATTTATATAATATATTAAAATAAAGGAATTCATTGAAGAAAGCCCTACCGACCTAAATATTCACCAGAAGAACATACACAATTGACAACCACAGGTACGTTATTTAATAGAAAAAATTTGGTAAATCTTACGAAAATTTCATCCAATATTTTTATATGATGGTGATATTGTTCAAGAATCTTCTCTTCTTCTTTTATTTTGTCTTGCTCTTCCTTTTGCTCTTGTTTCTTGTTGATTCTGGTAACACCTTTAGTGGCGAGGAAGTGATACAATTTCATCTCGTGGTTATAAGCCTTTATGAGGTCTCGCATTTCCTGCGAATGTTATAATAATAGCTACGTAAAACTTTTTTACATTACATTAACTATGTTAGTAATATTAATACCTAAAGATATCTCACATGTCCCAGTTTGCGTCCTATTTAGGCAATGCCTGTGTTTTGAGAATCATACTACTGATAAACATACTTATATATTTCTAAATCAAAATCAAACGCAAACTTTCTTTTTTGCATAAAAAAATTAAAATTGTTTAAAATCGTCTTTTATATAGACTTTAAAGTCATAGATCAACACACACAATAGCAACAATCTCTGTTTTGCCAAATAGTAAGCAAATAAATTGATTAAAAATTAAACCTATACAAAATCTATGGTATGCTTGTGCCGACAACCGCACGTTTCCAAAGGGTTGAGTATTATGAGAAGAAAGGGCAAACAAACTCATACATACATATAATAGATATATTACATCATAACACAGAACAAAATCGTCGTGCTTATCACGCATTTATTTGTCATAGGTGGGCATCGAACCCACGACCTCTGACTTAGCAGTCAGGATTTCTAACCACTAAACCAACAGGCCTATCAAAGGTAGATTGGGAACTAGAAAAATTATGTTGAAACTGATCTTAGTTAATAAATATTTACGATGTAATAGTTATGAATGTTGCGCCATAGGATTGAGTGGTTCTTGTGTTATATCTGGAGGACAGCGCCATCTAGTATCAAGGGGGACACAACACAACGCATTGAGATTATGGTTCTTAATTTCGATACTTGCTTGCATTGCCATCTAAAAATCCAGAAATTTTTAGATGCCTTTTTGTTCGTGCTTCTATTTATAACATTTCATCGGATATTCGGGATTAGTCTAGTAATTTCGATAGCACTATAAAAGCAGAGCGGTTTGGCCGTACGGACCAGTATTGTCTTACGACACAGCGAATTAACATCGAAGTGAATGTCTAGTGCGACTAACGCGTTTTATAGTGATTTCTTATTTGTAATAGTGAGAGTTTGTAAATACAGTATAACATACAAATTTTATTTATTGTATACCCCGCTCAAATAAATAAAATATGTGCACATATATTAAAATATATTTTATTTATTTAACATTTTACCTGTATCTGCAGCATCTGATCAATCTTGCCTTTCTCTTGGATTGATTTGAGTTTTGCAACCCATTCATCTCGTTGGTCGTACGCCAGGGTTGACGATTCAAACAGATCTCCCAGGAACTTTTTCCCTTTATTTAAAACTATCAGCATTTTGTTCCATGCCTGGTTGAAGTGAACGCTAGAAGATAAGTAAAATATTAAAAGACAGTAAATACAGAAATTATATCGATAAATTATATCCAGCCACAGAACAAATAATCACTCATCACATAAGTCACTGCCTCGGTGGTGCAGTAGTAAAGTATGCGACCGCTGTGCTGAGGTCTCGGGTTCGATTCCCGGGTCGGACCAAATGTTTGTGTGATCTGCAATTTTTTTGCGTAGTTTGGGTGTTTTCTATGTATAATATGTATGTATTTATAAAAAAAAGTATATAAGTATTCTATCAGTCAATCTAGTTTTCATAGTACAAGCTCTGCTTGGTTTGAAAATAGATGGCGTTGTGTGTCAGATGTCCAAAATATTATCATTATTAATTGTGTATTTTTTATGTTTATTTTATGGATGGGAATTGAACAGAGAATGACTATTCCTATTTCTAGTTTAGTAGACAGGAACTGGCTTCACTATGACTATGGCTGGCCTCGTTGATGAGGACTGCCTTTTGCATCAGACCCTTGACCTACCCGTCTAACACGAGCCTCTTAACAAAGCGTCTTGGATGAAAAGTTGAGGAGCAACAGGTTAATCTGGCACGGACATGTGATGACGAGAGAGAAGAAAAATGTGGTAAATAAAGTTTTGCGTATGGACATTTTTTTGTTTTCTCTTTTAAAAGGACATTGATGGATATAAGAGTAGAGGACGATGAAAGAAAAGATGAATGTACTACGTGAAACAGGATATAGCTAGAAAGAGAGTAAACAGAGAACTAGTGAGTAATATAGGAGAATGGAAAAAGAAATTCATAAAAAGTGCAAGACGACGATAACGTTTACTGACCGATCTTTTAACATGTGTTCAATTTCCTCTCTGATCTTGTTATTTTGACATTGCACGTCGTTGAACCTCAACTGGGCGGTTTCCAGTTTATTCTCAGTCGATATTAAACGCCGTTCACTTTGTATTCTTCGTTCTTTAAGCTGGAACGACATTTTTAATCCTTAACACATATCTAAACAAAATATTAGGTTGAAACTTTTTCTTCAGTAACTGATTTTTTATGGCAAGCGGGCAAGTGGATTCCCTTTTTTTTCTGTGCTGAACTCCCCTCGGATACCACCCACCAGTGGGTGATTATGTCGGACTCGGACCGACAAAAAACCACACGCCGTCTCCAGGTACCAGTAGCCGAGGAACCACGTATACCCTGGTACCTCGACGTAAATCGAGCCATCTACGGCTTATAGATGACCCCTCCTGTGTGGGAACCCGGATATTCCCTTCCGGGTTCTGAACCTCTCCCGGTCTTTCTCTGCCATCTCCTTTGCAAGCATAACCTGCTCGCAGAAGGAGAGCGAAAGTTCCACGCACTCTCGCTCCGCACCATGGCCGCAATCATGTTACCGAGCGAGAGACCCGGATGACTGCCACGAGGTCCACCCACACCGGCCATTCTGCTAGAGTGTGGAGCGCCGTGTCCACGGTTCGGCAATCGCAGTGGTGGCACCCAGGCGTTGGCTCCTTGCGGATCAGACACAGGTGATCGACGAAACATCCTGAGTTGCAGGCGTTCATGGGCGGCCGTAGTCGCTTTCCATCAGGTGACCCGTCTGCTCATCATCATCATCATCATCAGCCTATAATAGTCCACTGCTGGACATAGGCCTCTCCTTAGAAAGGAGGGTTTGGCCTACTATACCACGTTGGCCAGACGGGTTGGCATAGGGTTTGTTTCAAGTTTGTCTTCTCTTTGCAGTGCTGTTGTCCTGCGTCGAGGGGATTTCACTCACTCTCATTACGCATCAGGGTATTTTTTTTTGTATGTTAGTTGCAAAGTAATGTTTATAGAGTAGGTATTAAAATAAGCTTACCTGACCTCTAGCCGTATGGGCAATCTTTCGCAAGTGAGTTGTATCCTTATTGTTCCTCACTAATAAGTCATCTATCTCACTTGTTACTATCAATCCAGCTGGAAATTAAAACAGGTACAGGTCACTTCATCAACAGCCTTTAATAGTCCACTGCTGGACATAAGCCTCTCCTTAGAAAGGAGGTTTACAGGTCACTTGATAGTATGTATCTACCACTGGGTACTTTTTACTAAAAGGATACAAGGGCATTGCCCTGCTCTTTGAGTACTTCCTAGAATTGTGAGGGTGAAGTGGGAGTTGGGATTGGGTTGGTTGGGTCTCCAGTAACCTTACTTACTCCAGTCAAGTCTTTATATACATTCCGAAGCATGGCTCTTCCACGGCAAAATGTGTCCAAATTGCGGCACATTTGTGATCAATGTCAAACTCACCTTCTTTAATGTTGGTATACATATATGCACGATAAGCTTCAGGCCTGACAAGGGCTCCATATCATGTGGCGATATCAGCGACGACGACAAGCTATCCAACGGTTGATTGGGTAAAATGTTTTGGATTCTATTGCCATACTACTCAACCTGCTCTAAATTCTTTTATTCAGTTCGATTCCGATACACCACTCCACCGAAAACCTCAGAGAGGTGACCGCTTGGCTTTCGAATGTACAAAAAACTGTTCCGAATTAAAGATATAGTTTACAAGACAAACAATCAATTAAAAGTTCAAAAATTACCTTCGCACTCCTGTTCTGCTTGAAGTCTAAACAACAATGCATCTTTTAAATCCTGTTTCATCTTCTTGTCCTTCTTCTTATGAGCCCCAGATCTTGCTATCTGTATGCAAACAGTTCATCTTATCAATGTTACTGTCACAATGTGTATACCGGCAACGCGTTTGTGACTCCTGAGTTGCAGACGTTAATGGGCGGCGATGGTCACTTTCCATCAGGTGACCCGTCTGCTCGTCTGCCAATTCTAACATAAAGAAAAAACTAGCAGTTAGAAACACGCTAGTGTTATGCTAAGTTGAGTTAGAAAAGCAAAAGTTCTATTTGTATAGGGAATAGGGCAATTAAGTTTCTTCTGTAATTAATACCTCCAATCTACTATCGCACAATATTTTGATGATTCATTTGATTGATTCCTCCTAATAGTAGACCCTTCTTTGTGGAAGTAACAAGAACGTGGGGAGCAAATTTTCAAGGTCTATGTCAGGCCTGTTATCGGGATGTTCTATCGACGCGTATTTTAAATAGATTAGTTGCAATTTATCACAATAGTTAGGCTTCTAATTCACTAGAACGTAACGGACAAAATAATAATAATAATAAGAAATCAGTACTTCTCGATAGGGCACGTATTGTGAGGAAGTTTCAGCTTGGTGCCTGTAACCGATACTGAAGGAATACAATTTTTATATTTTTTAATATATATTTGTATGTATTGTAAATGTATTAAAAAAATTAATTTATAAGTATATTTGATTTAATAAAGAGTATTATAATAATACACTGCATTGCTGTATGTTTTTAGATAATGCATTCGGGAGATGACCAGTCCCGACTGACGGCAAACATTCACGAGCATCACGCATGAATCTTCATGGCCCAATTTGAAAAATATTGATTTGGTATTTGAAAATGGTGTTTCAAATATTAACACTAGCAAAGAGGCTGGTCGACACTTTATGAGGCCAGAAAATGTGGCTATTTGTTGTACAAAAATAAGTATTTCTATTTAATGCGAAATAAAAATATTTCATTGTGTGTGTGTGTGTGTGTGTTATCAGTCAGTTTTTGCTTAGCCATTATCATTTCTCTTTGTGTGTGTATGTCTTATAAGGTTGTGTTTCAATAGATCAACAAAAACTATTATCATTAGGTAAAAAAGCTATTATCATCATCATCATTAACAGCCTTTAGTAGCCCACAGCTGGACATAGACCCCTCCTAAGAAATATTATCGTATAGGATTTGTATCAAGTTTAAATTATCTTTACAGTGCTGTTGTCCTGCGTAGTTGCCTCTTGCTCCCTTAGTTGCCTCTTGCGGCATCCACGGGATAAATAGGAGACGTGACACTCAGTATTTTTAATCCGTCACCAAACGCAATATGGGTATAAAATAAAAACTATTGGTCAAATTTTTTACCCGTTATTACACTTTAGTGAATCGTTGCCTTTATAATTCACAGTAGTATCTAGACGCGTACAAATGGTTCGGTAGATAAGTCAACCAACTAAAATGTGTGGCTAATGACAGACAGACAGACCAATTTGTGATAACTACTAACTTTGTGCCGCAGAACTGTTTCAAGTTAATAGATAATTAGTTCGTATTATCTCTAGTAGTAATTTATAATTTTCTATGTGAATGCATGAAATGATTTACTTGGTATATTAATAATATAAGCAGATAGTTGAAATGCGAACATTCATATGAATGTGTGGTGTGGTGGCAAACTTGACACAACCCCCTTTCTTTTTACGTGTGGAAGCCCCCTCGGGCCGTCACCCCACCGGGGTGGTGTGTCGGAATCGGACCGGCTAAAACCACACGGTGTGCCATTCTGCGCCTGTAATAGGAGGGATCCGGGAACTGCTGATATTAAGACATCCGGACCCCTCCCAGCACCTGCCCGCAATTGTGCGGGCACCACCTGCGGGTACATTCTCTATTTAGGTGACGTCCAGCACACGCAGACACAAACAATCTGTAAATCATCTGTCACTACCGGCCATGGAGCGTATGACGGCCGGTAGCGAGAGGTCCCCTCCGATGACTGCAATAAGGACTCGGCGCTGCGACGAACAAACCGGGCGCATTGCTAGCGTGTGCTGGGCCGAGTCCTCATTGCAATCGCAGTGGTGGCAGGCGGGACTCAATTCCCTCCTAGCGACCGAGTGCAGGTACTTCCTGAAGCAGCCGTGCCCGTAAAGGACCTGCGTCAGTAGGAAGGAAAGGGTCCCATGCTGCCGCCCTGCCCATTCGACGATAACCGGCTGGAGCGCCTCCACGGCGGCAAAGCCAGCACTTGGAACCTCCAGCCGGGACGACCAACGAGTCATCGTGGCTCGGCGAGCGGCGCCGGAGGCGTGCCCTATTCTGGGCGGTCAGAGCCGCCGCCCATACCGGTGCACCGTACAGTGCCATTGACCGTACAACCCCCGTGTACAATCGTCTTGTCACGACGCTGGGTCCACCAAGATTGGGTAAAAGTCGCCCTAGGGCACACGCAGCGCCGACCAGCTTTGGAGCAAGCTGTCATCATCTGGGCCCGAACCAGTACGAGGACCGAGTTGACCACGATTGAGGCGACAGGGGGTGGACCTCGACGGCGCCAATGGAATAAGAGGGCCTCCGTCTTATCCAAGGCCACCCGCAAGATCAGCGCCTCAATGCGCCCGACCACCAGAGAGACTTCCCTGGTGGCCAGGCGTGCCGCCTCTTGAAAGTTTGCCCCCCGGGCCGTGACCAATGTGTCGTCGGCGTAACAAATTACACCCAGCCCAGTGAGAAAATCTACTCGAAGGGCCCAGTCGTACCCTATGTTCCATAGGAGTGGTCCAAGAACAGAATCCTGTGGAACACCGCACGACATGGGCCGACACCTCAGGTTACCATCTCGGTCCTCGTACACGACGGTACGCTCCTCTAAATAGTCTGCCACTAGCCGCCTCAGGTACTTTGGCACCCCATGATAATGGAGTGCTTCTCTGATGCAGCTGAATGGCAGACTATTGAATGCGTTGGCGATGTCAACTGACGCCGCCAACAGCACGCCGCCACAGCTCACCGACTCTTCGGTCACGGTTCTCAAGCGCAGCACACCGCCGATCGTCGGACGCCCCGCTCGAAAACCGAATTGGGCGTCCGATAGATAGGGGCCCTCCTCGTAGAGGTGACGGACGATGCGGACAGAGAGTACCCTCTCAAACAATTTACCCGCCGCGTTCAGCAACACGATGGGCCTGTAGGCCGAGACCGAATCGGCAGGCCGTCCCGGCTTCCTTAACAGGACCAGCTTCCCGCTCTTCCAGCACTCAGGGAAACGCTCGGACGCTAAGCTAGCGTCAAACACCTCCGCGAGGCGATCTGACATGTGGTCGATGACCCGGGCCAGCACGCCGGCAGGTATCCCGTCTCGCCCGGGGGTGGTGTTCTTGGAGCGGATCCGTAGAACAGCTGCCCTTACTTCCGAATCCGCGACTGGCGGAACATCATCCTCGTCCTCCCCGTCGTGTCCGACATAATGCCATCGACGGGGGTGTGTGTTCCACCCGCTGCGGGAAAAGGCCCTCAACCACTGTCTACAGGAAGCTGGGCTGGAGAGTCTCCGTAAGGGGGGGGGGGGGGGGGGCCGACGCACGGAGCTTTTGTTGCGCCGAGCGATAGGGACGACCCCAGGGGTCACGGTCGAGACCCTCCAGCATCTTCTTTATCTTTATTTCTTTGGCGCGGCTAATGGCCAGCTTCAGAGTTTTCCGCGCCTCGCGGTACTCCTCATGAAGCCGATTGTCCCCACCGTCTCCGCGGTGCGAAGCCGACTGCGCGTGTAGGACCTCCGGGCACGTGTACAGGCCGCACGGAGGTCCACCAACTCCTGGGAAACTTGACACAACCCCTATAGCAACCCGTCTGGCCAGCGTGGCATAGAACGCCAAAACCTCCTTTCTAAGATGCCTATGTCCAGCAGTGGACTATTAGAGGCCATTGATAATGATGATAAATTTAAAACATTTATGATAAATAAAGTATGTACAAAATCAGCAAAGCTTGTACTATGAAAGCTATGTAGATTGATTGACAGAATATTTATTTACTCTTTTTGTAAATATATACATATTATACATGGAAAACACACAAACTCCGAAACAAATATTTGCAGATTCTACAAACATTTGGAACCTGGGAATGTAACCCGAGACCTCAGCACAGCAGTCGCATACGCTACCACTGCACCACCGAGGCAGGCAAAAGTAATAAATTTTTATGTGTTAACGTGTTACGCTACGGAAAGTCTATACAATAGTACCATCAGGTCAGTTAGTTTGAAACAGTTCAACGCTCCCCTACAAGTCACAACTTTTGTTACGTCACTTCTTATTTTTACATCAGGGATCTGTACTACAACTTTTAAGCGTACTCGTAGGTCTGAGATAATGTACCACTCAATTTGTAGGACGGCTGTTAAATTATATAAATATTAATTGAGTAACAGCAAAAAAGAGAAAAAGGTGGGCGTCTCATCAAAATGAAGCTACTCACCGCAAATTAGCTTGATTCCTGGAATATCCTGGAATCCTGGAATATTACATACACAGAAAGAAAACTAGTATTGAACTGGAATTGAACCCATAAAGCATAATTAACATTATTACAAACCACATAGTTCATATAGATATACTAGTACAATTATACTTAGAAATTCATAGATGAATTCAAGAACTATTCATACATACAAATACTTTTACTAATCGAAATCGAACCCCTGAACACCGTGCCGTGTTCGCTATATTAGTGGTCAACATTCAGATGGTCGTACCTTCAAATCCTTGCAGAGATTATTGTACTCCGATTTCAGGCACCGCAGCAGTTCGTCTTGACTCCGACACTGAGGATGTACGCCCATGGTACGGTGGAGACGATCGATCTGGATCACTTTAACCTGGATACCAAGGATTGAGCTTATTAAAGGACCCAAGGAATATGAAGGCATTGGGAAACATACTGATCGTCTACTTAACAGATTTAAGAGAAAGTAATTTTTGCATTCGGTTTTTAAGAACCGATTTGAGAAATTCTCTTTTTATTTGTGAGGGTTTGACTTAATTTTGGACCCATTCAAGTTTGAAAAAGGCCATTATTTCTTACTGTGGAGATACGGATGTTATGCCCCTCAAACAAAAAGGGAGGATCCTCCGACCAGGTGAGGAGATCATGCCTGGCGTGTCGCGGCCCAACGGTTGAGCTGAGGAAGTTGTAATTGGTGTCAGAATTTTTCATATAGCGATTCGGGATTAGCAGTAACTCCATAGTTCAGTGTGTCTTTGTTAGATGGCGCTGTAGTATGTTTTCTTTTCATTGTATGTGGAGGTCACCACACTGATCTATGTAACATCAGAAGGTTTCCACTATACTCATAAAAATTAATAGTGTATTTACTGCCCTCGTGCTGAGGTTTAAATGGTCTAATCGGTCGTTTCACCACTATTGGTGGGGTAGGTTCAAACCCAGATGGAACAAAGATTTGAGTTGATCTTTGACTCTGATGTTCGAGTTTCCCCTCGAGTTTTCAATACGAGAATGGCTTCTAGATCAGCAGTTGTCTCTATAAAAAGATAGTTAAAAATATGATTAAGGAAGAAAATATACTCATCAGAAAGGGTTTGCTGATATGAAAGGATAAAACTAAACGAATTGATATGATGACGAGGAAAGCAGATCGATCAATCGAATCCAAACCTGCATATCAGATCGGACAGATATGAATGTCAAAACTTTTATTCTTTTTAGGGTTCCGTACCTCAAAAGGTAAAATAGGAACCCTTATAAGATCACTTTCTTTTCCGTCTGTCCGTGTGTCACCACCAATTTGTGTTGTAAGACGTTTCTTTTTGCCTAATTTCGTTACTCTAGGTCAACGGGAACTACCATATAGGTTTTTGACCTATATACCAAAACCTATAGGGTACTTCGACCTAGAATTGAGAGAGAGCCCTCGGCGCACGAGTTCGACTCGTATCTGATATACCGATTTTTTTATATTGATAACATAGTACACCGGACACACGGATCTATCGCTGAGAATCGTGTGGGTGTATTTCAGGAAGGGGGAAGGGGAGATATTCTATGAATAAAATACCTATACCCGACATAGACTAATTAAAATGAATATTCAATATTAAGGCTGGTGATATGATATAGATATTATACCTGTCTCTGTAATCGTAAATGTTCATCTTCCATCTTCTTAAGGACCTCTAAGTCATTGCCTGGATGATCAGGAGTTGGAGTCTCCATTTTGGTAAAATATTTTTGTATAATTTGTATAAAATATTAAATTGAAGTAGTTATTGTAGGGCCGTGCGCATGGCCTTCTAGATTGTTGACATATGAACGGACGGATCCCTTTTAAGAAGTTATAAAGGGAACGGCTATGTTAATCGACGACCGAATGGCGTAGTGGTTTGTGTAACGGACTGCTATTCCAAAGGTCGAGGGTTCGATTCTCGCTCAAGTCAAACATTTATGTGCATGAACATTTAATGTTTGATTTGGTCTGGGTGTTTCTATGTATAATAAGTATGTATTTACAAAAAAAAAGTATATATATATTTATATCAGTTGTCTAGTACCCATAATACAAGCTCTGCTTAGTTTGGGACTAGATGGCGTTGTGTGAATGTGGTACAATATAAAAAAAAAAAAATATATCAGCGTGATCGTCAGGCATCTTACAAAGGTTTTTATGTCCTATTTTAATCCATACTTTCATACTTTTGTGTTAAAAATGTGAAAGAGAGTTTGTTTGTTTGTTACGCTTTCACGCCTAAAACACTAAACCGATTTTAAAAATTCTTTCACCAATGGAAAGCTATATTATCAGTGGGTAACATAGGCTATTATTTACCATGATAGCTGATATACACGTGGGCGGAACCGCAAACAAAAGCTAGTAATAATAATAATTTAATTCCAGTGGCAGTTTATGCGACTGCTGTGCTGAGTTCTCGTATTCGATTCCCGGGTCGGACCAAATGTTTGTATGATCTGCGAATATTTGTTTCGGAGTTTGGGTGTTTTCTATGTATAATATGTATATCTTTATAAAAAACGTATATAAGTATTCTATCAGTCATACGTCGATTAGACGACCGAATGGCGTAGTGGTTTGTGTAACGGACTGCTATTCCAAAGGTCGAGGGTTCGATTCTCGCTCAAGTCAAACATTTATGTGCATGAACATTTAATGTTTGATTTGGTCTGGGTGTTTCTATGTATAATAAGTATGTATTTACAAAAAAAAAGTATATATATATTTATATCAGTTGTCTAGTACCCATAATACAAGCTCTGCTTAGTTTGGGACTAGATGGCGTTGTGTGAATGTGGTACAATATAAAAAAAAAAATATATATCAGCGTGATCGTCAGGCATCTTAGAAAGGTTTTTATGTCCTATTTTAATCCATACTTTCATACTTTTGTGTTAAAAATGTGAAAGAGAGTTTGTTTGTTTGTTACGCTTTCACGCCTAAAACACTAAACCGATTTTAAAAATTCTTTCACCAATGGAAAGCTATATTATCAGTGGGTAACATAGGCTATTATTTACCATGATAGCTGATATACACGTGGGCGGAACCGCAAACAAAAGCTAGTAATAATAATAATTTAATTCCAGTGGCAGTTTATGCGACTGCTGTGCTGAGTTCTCGTATTCGATTCCCGGGTCGGACCAAATGTTTGTATGATCTGCGAATATTTGTTTCGGAGTTTGGGTGTTTTCTATGTATAATATGTATATCTTTATAAAAAACGTATATAAGTATTCTATCAGTCATTCTAGCTTTCATAGTACGAGCTTTACCTAGTTTGAAACTAGATGGCGTTGTGTGTCAGATGTCCGAAATATTATTATTATATTATTATAGTTTATTTAAAGATAAACAAACACTAGATTTAGATTATGGCCAGAAAATAAAAATGATGTTGTCTACAGATGAACTATCAACAAAAACAACAGCCTTTAATAGTCCACTGCTGGACATAAGCCTCTCCTTAGAAAGGAGGGTTTGGTTAAGTATACCACGCTGGCCAGACGCGTTGGTATAGGGTTTGTGTCAAGTTTTCCTTCTCTTTGCAGTGTTGTTGTCCTGCGCAGTTTGCTCCCTTAGTCGGCTCTACGACACTAGAACATACTTCTACGACTCTAGACACTAGACATTTAGAATAGCAGTTCGTTACACAAACCACTGCGCCAGCCGGTCGCCATATTTTTAAACAAAATTTTAAGTCGCTTTCTTTCGCAACCAATTTTTATTTTGCCAGTGCTGTCATTAAGGTGCTCAAATTAACAAATTATGTCTCTATTATTGTAACAGTGTTGTAAGTAGTCAATATATCTCTTATAGTGTTCTAAATAATGTCCAAATTTCAATAAACGCTCTTAAATAGGAGACCAACTGATCTTGTGTTCATTAATCAAGAGGAACGATTTAAAGTCACTTCATAGTGCGTCTCAGTTGCATTGGATATTGTTACACCGTACTGTAACATATACGTTTATGTGTAGGAGTATCCTTGGCCATGTTACTACATCTCTCGTTAATAAATTAATTTGAATGTAAATCTTCAGAAAATTTCATGCATAATGATGACAACTGGATAACAACGGTTGAGGTGCACTTCAAAAACTTCAGTTTTCCAGTCATCATCACATCAACAGCCTCGGTCTCTCCTTAGAGAGGACGTTTTGGCCTACTATACCATGTTGGCCATACGGCTTGGTATAGTAGGTGTGTCAAGATTTCCTTCTCTTAGCAGTGCTGTTGTCCTGCGTAGTTTGCTCCCTTAGTCGGCTCTTATGACACCCCCAGGACAAATAGGGGTGGTGAAATTCCGTATTCTTAATCCGTCACCACACGGATAAAGATAAAGTGATAATATGAGATGTAAAATTAGCACAGCTTTATCAGTGAGAGACCCATGCTTGACCGACACGTTACGACGACCTTACAGAAAATCGGTGTTAAGCAATTCTAATATATCAATTATTCATTATTGTGACTCTTCAGTTGTTGGTGTCCATGGGCGGTGGTAGTCATTTTTTGTCATGGAATTGGCGGTAAACTAGCAGATGGGTCACCTTTCTTTTGAAGTCGGTTAATTACACTTCTTGACACTTCTTGTAACCAGAAGGCAGGAAGAACTAGGGCAGAGACTGAACTGACTGACAGATGGCGTAGTGGTTTATGAGGTCACCTCACAGCTCCCTACTGCACTGAGTGTTGTCGATTCGACCCCCACATGAGATAACACTTTGTTTGATCCACAAATGGTTGTTCTGAGTCTGGGTATTCTTTGTGTCCTTTTCATGTGTGTTTGTAAGTCCCCTGCGACACAGGATTATATTCAGAGTGCGGGAGTTGTATTTAAAAAAAATAAAAGAAAATTAACATTGCCCTTTGATGTGGAAATGCTGCCTTCTGGGAACCTTTTCATCTGAGTATCTTGACCCTAAACGGCTCAAAAACATAATAACTTTAAATTTATATATTTACTCCGTTTGAGGATTTATGCCAATGCAGCAGTAGCTTAATTGTGGAAAAATTAACCCAGAAACATTTTGGCACACATTTTTTTATAAATAAAACCAAAATTTATCTAAATAATTTAAAGGCTTCTAATAACTTAATTCTTGAAATGGATTACCGCATCGGTGTGACATGCGTCCTGTTGTCGGTCTCTTTGTGAAAGCTCCCTTTAATGTCGACGTAGTGCCTATTCATCACGACGTTCGGTCTCGCAACAGTTTTTCTCATCTATTGATGTTTTAAATTGCTAAAATGGCGTCTGTTATTAGCCGGCTGGTTAGTTCATTATTTTGTTTTTACATTGCACTTGACTGCACGGATGGCGTAGTGCTTTAAGCGGGCGTAACGCCGCTTACTACTACGCTGAGTGTTGTGGATTCGATCCCCACATGGGACGACACTTTGTGTGATCCACAAATTGTTGTTCTGAGTCTGGATGTTTTTTGTGTTCGTTTCATGTATGTTTGTAAAGTCGTAAGTAATGCGGGAGTTGTTTTTAAAATAAAAAAAATAAAAAAAAACAGAACATTAAGTAAGTATTTTTTTTAGGTTTTAGTTTAAGTGAATGTGTACCATAAAAGTGTACCTAGTTATTTTATTAGAGTAACATAGTAGATTCACGCTTTAACGCTGTGTCTTAACCATTGTGTTGTTTGAGTTGAAGTGGCCATGGGCAGCGGTAGTCCCAACCACCCTAGCAACTGCTTAAGACTGTTTCCGTGTTCAAAAAACATTTACGACAGTACCTTTTGGTGGAGCAACAAAAGCTGAATAACGTAAATCAAAACATTTCTAGAATTTAATTTGATCTGAAATGTGACTGTCACAAAGTAAAACATTATTTGTAGAAATGTTTGGTTTACGGTGATGTACCTACAAGCTACCATAATAATGCATCATCATCATCAACAGCCTTTAATAGTCCACTGCTGGACATAGGCCTCTCCTTAGAAAGGAGGTTTTGGCCTACTATACCACGCTGGACAGACCGGTTGATATAGGGTTTGTTTCAAGTTTTCCTTCTCTTTGCAGTGTTGTTGTCCCGCGTAGTTTGCTCCCTTTGTCGGCTCTTACGACACCCACGGGATGAATAGAGGTGATGAGACACTCCGTATTCTTAATCCGTCACCAAACTGACTAGGATTAAATACTATACCGCGCAATTTCAATATTCAGTTTTTGCAATATTTTTCATTGATGTTCCGCTCCTAAATTGCATACTAGCTGACCCTGCAAACGTTGTTTTGCCAAAAAAAATAATAATTTTCAACGCCAACGCACAGCCCTCTGGGGGTGGAATTTCGTAAAATTCGTTCTTAGCTGACCTCTACTCGGTGAAAAGAATATTCCTACCAAATTTCAAGTCTTTAGCTCTAATTTTTCCAGAGATATCGTGATGAGTGACTATATACGTGGAAATCTCTTATATATATATATATAGATAATAAGTGTAATATATATAATATGTATAAGTGATCTGTGCCTGTAACTTACATAATACCTCTTGATAATATTCTGTATCGTCTTGTGCACTGTAACTTATCTCTGATTTATATAAGTGAGGATTTGTAATTCTGTTTTCTTGACTGCTTTTATTGTGATCATCACAGCTGTAAAGCCTCCATAGTTTGTAATAAATAAATAAATAACATAATGGGTGTATAACGTGATGTCATTTATCTTTTAGTCTGCCTTACTATATTGA